AAACTCACAAAAAAAAGAACGTAGCTATCCTCTTCCAAAAGACATTAATGGAGAAAGGTAATAATAAGATCTGACTTTATCTAATCAGTGAATAGCCCCAGCAATACAACTTCATGTCCTGAAGTCATCAAGCTGTGGACAATCATAATGTTACACGTAAAACTTCACAATGCTGCAGTGATAAAATTCACCTTTAAATTAGCATGTTATCAAGGGCAAGGTATTATCTTCACACACACACACTTAGCACACTGAGCAGTGGTTACACTCTGAGATCAGATTTCCTTCATGGAAATTCCTACATGCAAGAAGAGGCTCAGAATTCCTGCTGTACTCCATGGAGGTCCTAGTAGAGTTGGAGAAGCCTCAGCAGTGATTAATCTCATCCTTATCTTGACACTGAAAGATCAGTCCCATGGCTAATATAGCTGTCTGGCATCACTTGAGACACTGCATGGTATCCAAGACACCCTCCTGGGGCTGGCAGACGTGACATGGGACCCTGGAGATAACCACGTCTGTCTTAAACAGAATCTGAAAGCTGTCAGGATATCTCTGGTCAATTCAAGCACCACTAAGTGCCTAAACTTAACCAGCAGACCCCCTTTACTGGCCCCCATGAGGACACCTAACTGTAAATGATCAAGTTAAGGTGTCTTATTCTTCAACTTTATTCCACCAAAGTCAGATGGGAACACCACAGGTCAAAAAAGTAAATAACCCTAGAAACACCCTGTTTCTGAATGCATAGTAGTTGGTCCTTCCCTTCATCAGGCTACAGGCAAACAAGTAAAACAATCCAGATGCTATAGTACTTGATATTCACCACCTTAGTGACTGTCTTGTCCCAGTCACAAAAAAAGCCTCAACAGACCCAGCTCTTCACAATCTGCACTAAATGCTTATGATTTGGGGAGTAAAAATAAATTGATACAACAGGGAAAAAAAGTTGAATTAACTGAAAAAAAAAGAACTCCAGTTTCAGCAATATCTTTGATACTCTCTACTTCTATCAGCAACCCAAGTTCACCTCATGCCTCTGACCACACATTCTTAATACCTTAGTGAAGGTAGAGCAGAGTATCTCAGTTCAGTTTCCAAAAGATTAATACAAACATAATCTATGGACACTTTTAGTAGCAGATGCCAAATACTATTTAGGTTTATTTTGGAATTTGGGAATTTGGGAAAATTGCTCTTGCTTCTACCAACATTGCTCCCTTCAAACCACATTGGAAGTAGATTGCAGAGATACTTCTGCCACTCCTGGTACACACACAAATGAAGGACTAGCATTTCTCATCATAACATAACACTGAAGATTATGTTGAATTTAAGGATAAAAGTGGTGGATATCCATAGGTTTTGAAAGATACTGTTGTAAATAGTGCTGCAAAAAGTCAACAGAACCCACCTTTGGCACATGAAGCCCTTGAGTGGGCAAGTGGTTGGAGGCTGGGATGTGTTCCTGAGAGGTGTCAGATAGGCTTCACCTCACATGCTCAACTCCAGGTACCTGGTTTTGGCCTTGCTCAAAGGCTTAGGGATGCTTTTTGTATTTCATACTCATGTGCACATGCCTGATATAATACTGAAACATGAATGAAAATACAAGGTATCTCAAGGAAAAAAGTGAGGATTACTAGACCAAAGTTGTCAATACGTTTGAAAAAGACACCCACACTTAGTTCATGTAAAATATACCATGAGCCAGTAAGGAAAAATTATGAAATGTGCAAGATTTCTTTCCTAGAACTGGAAAATGATTGTAAAAGGAATATCAGCATTCATGACAAAATTTTTGTAAATCTGGTGAGCATCTATTGCATTGCAGAAGACAAGGACTATCTGCAAAGTAAACCTATTCATCTTTAAACTTAACCACCAGCCTAAGAATCCATGCAGAATCAGATGCAAATTTAGTGGTGATATGGATGGCAAGAATGAAATATGTTCACAAGTGACATCTTGGAAATACTCTTACATGCATTAAAATTTAATACATTATGGAGAATAAAGTCTTTTGCACTTTAACAGCCTGATCCAAGTCCTGAAGACAAAAGAAATATTCCCATTCACTTGTGTGAATGCTGGACCAGATTTATACAGAGAAAATAACAGACCATATGTTTCTGATTCCACTGGTCTTTTGGTGGTGGAGAACAGACACTTCTTTGACTAAGGAAGTACTAGGACTCTCAAAGAGAGCAATTCCTGATTTACTCCATTCTGGGAGGAGAGTGTGACCTGCCCTTGAGTGCTTTCTTAACTCCTTAACACATGGCAGTAAGTAAATTCTGTAGAAAAGCTGCTGAACTTGCACATGCAGTAACTTCTAAAGTAAACTCCATGGCTGCCAAAAAGTGTATGAGAAGTCAGAAATAACTTACAATATGGCAGGTGTTACAGTGCAATAAGGGCATGTCTTAGGTACATTATAAAACACAGACTGAAGTGGTTCCAGGATCTAAGACTTATTACGATACAGACTGTGTGGTTGCTATTTAAGTTGAATTCCTCCTATCATGCCTTCAAACCAATTTTTTTCTCCCTTATTTGTTCCATTCACCACATTTAGATGCCACCATCTTGGATTTCCTTCTCAGTAAAGGAAATCCCCACTTCTCAGCATGAAATCAGAAAAGCTTTCAGTCTTAGAAGGAGCTTCTGAGCCTACATCCCACAGCCAGGTAACCTAAGCCTCGTGGAAATACAAACTGTTCACAACCTTGAGGACCTTCACAGTGAGCCAAGCTCAGGACCTAAGCCAGCACCATTAATACCTCAAGCAGCAGACAGCACCAGTTAGTGGGGAAGTAGGAAATCAAGGAAGTGGAGAGCATTGCCAAAGCACCAAAGGATTTCTGTGCATTAAAGCACCACTCTTGGAAAAGAAATGCTTGCGTTAGTTCTGCACACACTGGTACATCTCCATGAAAATGTTGATCCAGGAGGTGCTGACTTTGTCCTGTGAGTGAGATGCTACCTCCCAGTTAACCAGACCTGTCTCCAGTGGAATGCTGCTCCCTGACTAATGAACCTTGTTTCCCAGCCCACTGCAGCATCACTCCTGCACAGCAACACAGACTCCACCAAGTTGGCATGCCTCAGTATCTGTGAAAAGCACATCTCTAGGTAGGGCATATGCTCTGCAATCCCAAAAATCCAGGTTTTGAGGGAACTCCTAAATCAATTCAGAGAGACTTCACAGCTCTAAGAATCTGATTTTTTGGCCCTTTTGAAAAATCTCACACTAGATTTTACAAAACTGGCATTATTCACAGAAGTATAAATTAGGACTTCAAAAAGAATTCCTCCAAGAAATAAACCCCAGTCTTTCATCAAGCCAAGGCTCCATCCTGAAATAGCTAAATCCAGAAGCCAGGATCATTTTTCTTCATCTCTAATGTAAAACAAGAAGAGATTTGGAAAGAGCTGAAGGCAGGATTTTGCTTCACAGGAGGAAATCCAAGATGGTGGCTGCAAAGTGACAAATTCTTGCTTGTGCTGTTGAATTTCTGATGAACCAAATAAGGCTATTTAACGAGCCTGGCATTAACATGAAGTGGCCCCTTGCACCCAGATGGCCTCATTTTTTTTGGATCAGTAGCAGACATATCATGAGAAAAACTCTTCAATTTCCATGGAAGGTAGTAAGAATATGGAGTGATAAAGCAAAAGTTTTCTTCTTAAACATGGAGCTAGTCTCCAAGTCATAGGATTTTTTTCTTTTCACTTGTTGGTAGCAAAACTGTAGCCCTTACTCAGATCTGAAGGTTTGTTGCATTGGTTTGTTTTATTTCTTAGGGAAGCAGAAGTGTCTCCTCTCCCTCCACACCCCCAAATGAATGCTCCACGGGGCTTGTTTGGGGAGAAAGGCTGTACGTTTATTGAAGCCACTAAGGTTGTCATTCTTTCTATGGTCATTCCTTCAGAAGGTCATTCCTTCCTTTTTTGTCCTCCTTGCTGGAGATTATTCCTTACTGGCACCTTTCTTCTTCCAGAGATCTGTTCTCTTTGGTCTCTCCTCACACTTTCCTCAGGTTGCATTGCAGTACATCACATAACAGCTGAAACACAGAGCAGAGACACACCTAGCACTGGAGGGTGGCTCCCTTCTCATCCAGCATTTCAGCTTCATATGTTGTGTGATCAGTAGCCATTGACGTCCTAACAGAGAGATGGACTCTCTTATGCTCCTTCTGCCCAATCCCCCTTTTTAAAATCCTCCCCTGTGCCAAAAAAAGCCCAAACTTTGAAAGGTATTTGGAAGCTTTTTGATTTCAACATTTTTAAAGGTGTTGGGCTGGGACTTGCCCCAAAAATAGCAAGAGTTAAGTTAGCTAGCTATCATGTTTTAAATGTTTGATATATATTTTTAAGAGGCTTTTTCCTTTCTTCTGAAATGTGCCAGAAACAGGGGGTTTCTGTTCTATACAGTGGTTCCCCTCACTTTTTTTGTCCTGTTTTCAGTAGGAAGAGTGATTTAGGAAGACATGAAAGAGGCAGAGAAAATAGTAAGCACAAATCAGGGACAATTTCCTTGTTCTTCCCTTAAAAAAAGTTTCTGTAACAAATAGTTAAAAGCATCCTAAGTCCCATTCCAGTGGGGCAACATATATATCTCAAAGTGTGACAACCTGTTCAACCTAGTGGGACTTTATCTTTTAGACGCTAAAAGACAAGTGTTTGCCCTGTGCTTGCAAGCAGCTGTGTACAGATGGTGATGCATTGAACTCACACAGGAGAGTTTGAGCTGCAAAGCAAACAGTAAATCCATTTGGGAGTATAAACACTTCTTTTTTTTTTTTTTAAATTCCTTCTAATTTTCACTCATCCTGGGAAATTTTTGCCCTTAGTGAGCTCCACAAGTCAAATCAGGCAAGCAGGACACTGCTTATTTTTCAACTCCAAGTGATGAAGGGTGGAGAAAGGATTTGTCATCGCACTGAGTTCTGGGAAGGGCTTTGGGTCCCAAACATTGTAGTCAGTAGAGGGAGATGGCAACTCCCATCTCAAATTGCAGGTATGTGAAAGCACTCTTTGGAAAAGCTCTTTTCGCTCTCCATGACTTTGGAAAGAACCCAGGTGATGAAGACAGATATAGCCAGACAACAGCTGTAGGAAAGAAAAAAGCCTCTTTTTTGTTGTTGTTTTTTTTTTAATCAGTCATTACTGTACAGAGGAAAAAGCTTGCACACACATATACACCCAGACACACAGAGTCCCCACTGGACAGAGAATTACATCCCATGAAACACAAAAGAC